AAACTGTTCTTGAGTCTGTTTGTCCTGATCCTCATTTGCCTGTAGCGCCTTCCAGAGGGCAACAGGTCAAACAGGGTGGAGCCAGGGTGGGAGCTGTCCTTGGAAATGGCCCTGGCTCTGCTGAGGCACCGGGTGGAGTAAATGTCTGTCAGGGAGGGGAGAGGGCGACCGATAAAGTTAACATCTACAGGATTATAAAGAAGGACACTATTAGTATTGTACATTCAGCTATTTTGAAACAAATGCAAATATTGGTGCCTTTTTAAACATTGATTTAGTTTAGTTTGATTTAAGTTCAGATGAAATTAAAACCTATTTTCTAGTCTTTCTTTTTTACATTAGAAGAAAAGTCCACATCACATGCTCGCGGAGAGAGCAGTTGCTATGTTTTCTTCACTCTGTAACTGTGTCCACTCTAAAGAGTGTCTTTGCTTGCACAGCCTAACAACTTCACTTTTCTGGGTTAACAAATCAGAAAACCATCAAAGGTGTGAGTCTCACTGGTTAAAGGCCAGACTCTGCAGTAAGTCCCTTATTAATTTGCCATTTATTATTCCTACCCATTATAGAAACAGTAGCATTAACTCCTGGATATTTAAATAAAGACATTTGGAGGTTATTTTTTGTGGATTATTGATTTAGTTATTTTTCTATGTTGAAAAAAAAAAGATATTTATGGAATTACATTTTGTTGCAAGAGGTACAACAATTCTTCCTGGTAAAAGTGCCATAACGTCACTATTTCTATTTTGAGTGGTTAAGTCCTGACAAAAAATCTAACTTGGCTGATTAGACCTAAAAAACATATTCTACTGCATATTTTAAAAATGAACTTAAACTGCCACCTTAGTGTGGTGGAGAGGTTTCCATGCTAGACGATCTTAGAGACAATGCTGTCGGGGCATAAATCCTCCAGATACCTAAGGGCCAAGTCTAGGTGCAGAGTTCCAGCCCTTCTTAGTTTTCCAGGCAGGCATGTTGGATAATGGCTCCCATGGAGATTCCATAATTCTGCCGGGGAACTCAAAGCCCATGTAGGACAAAATGGTGACACCTGATGGAACGTGATTGGGACGAACAGACCCCCAGCTCTGAACCTGATTGGTGTTTCATTAGTGGATTTCTGTGCGGAGGATGTATTGTTCATAATAAACACCATGTTCATGCATAAACATATCAGTCAGTGCACTTAGCACAAGGACAACAAGACCAGAGGTTAATAATTAACTTTCCTGCTTATGATCTTCTGATCCCATGCTATGAATGCTTGGGTGAAGTTGAGGGCATAGCTGACTACTGATGACCAACTGGTGTTGAGTTAAATACACTGGAAGTGGAGGAAGCAGACAGATTTGACATGCCCAATGAAGTAGTGAGGGTGAACTGAAAAACATCTGATTTTGATCCTTCTTTGAGGCATCTTCCTAGTTACCTAGGTTCATTGCATTCAATCTGAAATTAACATGATTCTCTGATTTTCCTATGATGTTAACAGGAGCGACTGGGTGACCTCTTACAAGGTCATGGTTAGCAACGACAGCCACACCTGGATAACTCTCAGGAATAGCTCAGCTGACATGGTGAGTACTTATAAAAAGACAAAAATGTCCCAAACTGAACAAAACCTTTTTTCTTGTTTTTTTTTCTTTCCTAATTAAATATCTTGTCTTGTTTGTGTGTCTTCTGCTGATTGAACCCAAATGGAAAAAAATGAAGTCTTGCTCGAAAGTAATTACAGGGGAAGATATAAATGCCTGCTTATTTCCAAGCTTAATGAACTGTGAGGTGGTAGAAAATACTAATGTTGCTCCGGTAGATGGTAACTTATCCTTTCAAGAGTTGTTTTTTCCTCTCTCTAATGAGAGACTTCACATAATTAAAAGGACAGGAATATCACCTTGCATGCAGAGTGTCACAGAGCCTTCTTTTTGTCAGCTCTATTGCTGATGAAGGAAATTTGGGATTTTCTGAACTAACCAGAAGTCTTAAAACATAGACTCATATCCTAGAAAATTATATTTTTTTAGTTTGCTCCTGTGGCAAGTAATATAATCACTGAAGGTGATAAACAGTACACTAATTTATTCACAGCCACGTCTTTCCCCCATCCTTTCTGCCAAATGCCAATCCCCTATATAAGCCTTTTAAAACATCACTATGGTACTAAAAAGAACTCTATTTGTGCGTGTTAAAATTTCCATTAAGGACCTTTGGGTGTCAAAGTTCCTTGATAGCATACATGACAATAAATCCTCCTCTAAAACCAGGGAGAGGAATCTTTTTATAGTTTCGGTCATTCTTCTTTCTTTTCCATAAGTGTTCAGTTTATTTAAAAAGATTATGAGGGAAATGAGTGCCCCTCATTTACAGTTGTTGAAAGAAGTGCATTATCCTTTGTCCTTCAAACCTTGACTGTGTAATTATCCTGTGTTTGCCTTAGTAGATATTCAAAGGCAACAGAGAAAAAGAAATCCCGGTCCGGAACATCTTTCCATCCCCCGTGGTTGCGCGTTACCTTCGAGTCAACCCCCTTTCATGGTTTTATGGTGGCAGCATCTGTATGAGAGTGGAGATCCTCGGCTGTCCTTTGCCAGGTGATGGGTTGGTGTTAAGGTTTGGTCTGGAAGAAAAGTTGACACCACTCGCTAATCAGGATACAGTTTCTGAAAAATATTTCAAGGATTCTCTTTGTCTAATGTGCTGTTCTCAGCATAGGGACAGTAGTGGAAACATCTCTACAAAATGCTGTAGTGGCTTTAAATGGTTACCCATTCATTCTAATAAGGTAAAATGGGCTGGGTCCTTCTTTCTGTTGTTGTCAATATTATCAAGGAAAAACCCATCCATCCATCCATCCATCCATCCATCCATCCATCCATCCATCCATCCATCCATCCATCCATCCATCCATCCATCCATCCATCCATC